GATTTAATGAGGTAGTATAGGAGCTCTGAAGCATAGTGGTTACAAGTCGGGCTACTAACCTCAAGGTCAGCGGTTCAAAAATATCAGCGGTTCCGCGGAAGAAAGATGAGGCTTTCTGCTCCCATAAAGATGTACAGCCTTGGAAACCCTATACAGGTTCGCTATGGGTCAGAACCGACTCTACAGCACTTACCAACAACAACATCAACATCACCATCCTAGAAATAAGGCGCGCTGGTAGTGTAGTGGTTACGAGTCAGGCTGCTAACCTCAAGGTCAGCAGTTCGAAACTACCAGCTGTTCTGTGGGAAAAAGATTAGGTTTTCTGCTCCCGTAAAGATTTACAGCCTCAGAAACCCTATGCAGGGTCCCTGTGAGCTGGAACCGACTCCATGGCACGCCACCACCAACCACCAACCACCATAGAAATAACTCTTCACAGTGCCTGCTACTTAGTAAGCACTGCATACATGTAGCCTTCAGGGGATACAGAGTGAATTAGAGGTAGAGTAAGAACCAGGTCCCAAGTTTTCTTCTTTTTTTAAAAAAACTTTTTATTTGTGATTTGAGTGAAGTTTTACAGAGCAGATCATCTTTCCTCTGTTAACCTCTCTCTTGTTGTATATTACCTGCCTGTCAACCATGTTAAAATGTGTCTACCCTCCCTCTCAGGGGTGAGGAATGTATAAGCCTGGCAGAATCATCTGGTTTAGCCTTGCCAAAGCAACTGCAGTTCAAGCCATCACATTGGTGGTGGTGGCTGTGTGCCATCACATTAGGGATGAGTTAATTAAATGTTTGACCAAATACAGCAGGCAATTTTTTTTTTTTAAGTTTTTATTGTGAATTGAGTGATAGTTTACATGGGAGAACATTGGTTTTACACTAATCATTTCATTGCAATGATTATAATCCCCTCCATGAATCAACAGTATTTGCTTCTATTCCCTCTGATTTTTTTTTTTTGCATGTACACAAAAACACTCAGGAATATATAATCATTTAAACAACCAAAGGGCTGTGAATAGGCTAATTTTTAAGTTGATAATTTTGTATGGTCCATGAATGATATTATAAATTTTGGCAGAAAAAATTCCCCACCTTTGCTATAACTATGACTAAGTCTTCCCCATGCCTTAACCATCATAGATTATTTCTTTTTTCAAGAAAACACTTTTTTTTTTTTTAACCTTTTACAATATTTGTCTCATATAGTGTTTTTTCTTTTGTGATTGATGAATTTCATTCAGCATAGTATCCTCCAGGTTCAGGCACGTTGTGAGGTGTTTCACAGATGTATCATTCTTCTTCAGTGTTTTGTAGTATTCCATCGTGTGTATATACCAAATTCTTCTGTTGATGGGCATTTAGTCTGTCTCCATCTTTTTTACATGTCTCTTGTTAAAGAGCATATTGAAAGATCCTAATTTCTTATCTAGTCTGCTCTTTCTGTCTCTTGATTGATATATTTAATCCATTTTCATTCAGTGTAATTATCAATAGATGTGAATCAATGTCATATTTTTGTGTGTGTGTGTGATGCTGCTGAATTCTTTGTTCCAAATGATTTTCTATGCTGAATTCATTTTGTTTGTGGGTTTTCATTTTTATTTCTGTTGTGTTAATGTTTACTATATCTTTCTGATTTTCCGTTTTTAAAATTTTGATATGCTGGTATATTTTTTATTTGAGGTTACCCTATAATTTATTATTTCCTTGCTTTAAACAGTCTGTTTTATCTTAAAATCTACTTGACTTCTTTGCCATGTGGAAGTTCTGTATCTACACTATTTCTTCCCTCTTGCTTTGCAGTTGACTTCATTGTACATTGATATCTCTGGTTCCCTATTTTCAGTCTTGTAGGTTGGTTGTACTTTGAATACTTCTATGTCTGGATTGAGTTCTGGGTGGTGTTGTCATGTATGGTAATCTCAGGTTGTTGTTGGTTCTCAGTCTAAAGAACACCCTTTAGCATGTTTTTAAAAGTTGGTCTGGTCATTACAAATTCCTTTAGTTTGTGTTTATCAGGACCTGTCCTAATTTTGCCATTATATTTGAGGGATATGATTCTTGGTTGACAAATTTTTTTTCCCAGAGTTTTGTATATGTCATAAATTTTTATTGTCTTCTTCTTCCCTTCTTGCCTGCATGGTTTCTGCTGAGAAAACAAGAGCTTAGTCTTAATGGGTTCTTCTTTTTAGGTAACTTTTCATTTTTCCCAATAGGCTCTGGGGAATCTTTCCTTGTCTTTGATTTTGGATAGTTGGAGTATGATATGTCTTGGTGATTTTCTTTTGGGATCTATCCTGTTTGGGGTTTGTTCAGCTTCTTGTATGCTTATCTTCTTGTCTTTCATTATGCTAGGGAGATTTTCTTCCAACAACTCTTCAACAATTTTCTCTGTGCTCGTCTCTTCCTGTTCTGGAATTCCAATCACCCATAGGTTGTTCCTCTTCATGGTGTCCCACATAACTCCGAGGCTTTCTTTGGATTTTTTTTTTTTTTTTTTCCTTTTTTCTTCTGATTGTTCTTCTAGCGTACTGGTATTGAAAGATTTATCTTTAAGCTTACTATTTCAAGCTTTCAATGCTTCACATCTGATCCTTTGCCCTTTCAACGTATTGTCCATTTCTGAAATCTTGGTATTCATCTTCTGATTTCTAATTACAGGTTTTGTTTTGCTTCAAATTTGCATTTGTTTTGTCTGTTTGTTCTTGTAGTGTTTTCCTGAATTCTTCTTTAAAGTTTTTACTGTGTTCATCTTGCTTTCCTCAATCTTTCTATTGATCCTTTGAAGGTATCTAATTAGTATTCTTTTGAATTCTTTTTCAGTTAGTTCCATTACCTTTTCTTCTTCAGGAATGTTTTCTGGCTTTGCATCTTGGTTATTTGTTTGTGCCATTTTCTCTTGTTTCTTTGTGTAAGCTAAAATTTTCTGTTTTTTTTCTGGGACATTGTGGGGTTGTCATATTTATAAAACAAACAGTGCAGTCATTGGACCCAAAGGGGAGACATCTCTGTTGGGCTCCTACAATTCAAGAGCTCACAAGATGGTTGTGAAAGGGATGTGGCAGCAGTGTTCTTGTCCCAGATGGAGTTCCCATCTACCTCTGTATTATCTATGTTCAGGGCACTCAGTTTGGAAGTAGTTTGTGGAAGTCCTGGATGGAGCTGCTTTCAGTGTGTGTTAGGCCTACAGGGAAGCTGGGGGCAGGGTGACTGGTTAAATACTGGTCTGGTGGCTCTGAGGGTTTTGTGGGTCTGGAGTAGAGCCCATCTGAATCCAGGCACCAGAGTGGTGCACCAAAGCAGCACACCAAAGTGGCATATCTGGCCCCCAGTTCACACTGGTCTGGCTTCCAACCTTGTGGCTCCAAGCTCTCACAGAACAGGGTCTGCACTGGGGATGGATAAAGGTGGGAGCTGGCCACACCTCTGGTTACCAGGAGATCATGGGGAAAAAGAAGAAATCGTACTTTTTCTGGTACCCATGCAAATTTGCTCGGCTAGACCTTCCTTTGCTGCCAAAGCTACTCATAAGATAGTCGAGACACATCTGGTCAATTGTTCACCAGTCAGTCTCCCTCTCACCATCCCTGCTTGGCCTCTTCTCCCAGAAAGCACCCCATCTACCTCTCTAACCTTTCTTCTGAAGTTTGTTGTTGTTGTTAAGTGCCGTTGAGTCAGTTCTGACCCATAGCGACCCTGCACAGGGTTTCCGAGGGTGTAAATCTTTACGGGAGTAGAAAGCCTCATCTTTCTCCCACGGAGCAGCTGGTAGTTTCGAACCGCTGACCTTAAGGTTCACAGCCCGATTCGTAACCACTACGCTACCAGAGCTTCTGAAGTTTAGGGTGCCAGAATTTTCATCAGTGTCTGTTTTGTTTGAGCTCTTATATCTTTGTTGTAAAGGGTCTGTGTAGTATGTCTGCCTAGTCTGCCGTCTTTCTGGAAGTTCTCCAGATACCAAGTTTTCTGGTCCTTCATTTAATTGACTCTCTTGTTTCTCACCCAGGCCTTACTGTTGTTGCCTGGTACTGTTAAATTGATTCTGACTCATAACAACCCCATGTAACAGAATTGTTTTTTGTTGTTAAGTGCCTTTGAGTCAGTTCTGATTCCTAGTGACCTTGTATAGGGTTTCTAAGGAGCAGCTGGTGGGTTTGAACTGCCAACTTCCCTATAGGTTTTTCTTGGCTATATTCTTTACAAAGCAGATCGCCAGAGCCACTGGGTGAGTTCGAACTGTAATCTTTTTGTTAGCAGCCAAGCACTTAACTATTGTGCAGCCAGGGATCCTTCAGACCCTGCGAGGCACATGTTAAGTGCTCAATACTTGTTGAGGTGGTGGGGACCTCAGACGTAGAGATTGGAGGTTTGGAGTTCCTGGGATGTCTGCTCTGGAAAATGGCGGCTTTCACCATGTGTGAGGACTGGGAGACTATGGCACAATGTGGGTTGGCTAGACTAGCTGTTGTTCCAGGGCTCCTGGCTGGAGAGTTGAACCACAGGGCAGAGCTGAGGGACCAGAGTGTATCTCAGCTTAAAGGATCTTGGCTTAAAAGGAATGTGCAGTGGGCTGCCTCTGCTCAGGAGGGGCTAAAAAAAGCCTCACCCTCCCCTGGGCTTTGTGTGAGGGTTATCAACTGCTCAAGTCAGCTCATCTCTTTGGCTGTACTTGGCATTTTTGAGAGAGTCTATTTTCCTGGTCCCTATGGGTGTCCACCAATTGGCAGGAAGTCCTGTCTCAGAGGTGGAGGCTGTGAGGAGTGTGTGAGTGGGTGCGGGGTGGGGGGTGGGGGGAAAGAGGGCTGGAAGCCCCAAACCCGGTGACAATACACAGTTGTCAGCTGTCCCCTGCTGATGTTTCTTCCTTTTATAGTCAGCAGCAGTTGCTCTAGCTCTCACCCAGCCCCTCTGTGGGGGCTCCTGCCCAGGATAAAAGGGGTGGGAGGAGGCCCAGTCTCCTGTCGTGTCTCTCAGGCACCACATCTCTTGCTTCTTCCTTAGGTCCCACTTTCACCAAAAAGCTCAGCAAGACAACATGCCTCCCAAGAAACCAGAGCCTAAGAAGGAGGCGGCCAAGGCCCCAGCCCCAGCCCCTGCCGCAGCCCCAGCCCCGGAGCCACCCAAGGAACCTGCCTTTGACCCCAAGAGTATAAAGGTGAGTGAGCCATTGTGAGGGAAGTCGGGATGACATTGAAGATCCTAGTTGTCTGGAGTCTAGAGATCTACTTGGATTGATGTTGGCAGGACTGGAATGAGGACTATGGTGTGCAAGGCCCAGATATATCCCATAGGGCAGTGGAGTGGGTATGGGGCTGGTGTAGGGAGCCTCAGGGTGTAGGCCTTTTCCCTCAAGAACAAGCTGCTGTCTTAGAAAGCTCTGTTCTGCCACTCAAATTTGCTAAGAGGAGTTGGGAGTGGTGGACAGGTACAACTAACTGACCAACCATGTTTCTTAAGATACTGGTGACCACCACAGTGAAGTAAAGAAACTTTTCCTCAGTGGTCTTGTGATGTCATTATAGAGAAAGAGATAGCTGTCAGGGTGACGTGAACCTAGTGAAGAGAGCAGCGCCGTGTCTCAGGCTCCCCTCAGCCAGGTGCTTGCATGGGAGGAGGTGGCGGTGGGCTTGTAGGCATGGTGACAGCAGCTTGGTTCCCTCATCTCTTTCCCTACCCAGCTGGCCTCAGTTAGGGTTCCCACCTGGACTATTCAGAGGCATGGGTGCCTCCCAGACTGAGCCCCTCTGTCTAACTGGTGAAAGAGCTGGCCTCCTCAGTGCCGTCCCTCTCTACCCCACCTTGGTCTGTCTCCTGGAGCTGGAGCAGCCCCTGCCTGCTGACGGTCACTTGTGGCCTCCCAACTATGTGGACCAGCTGCTGAAGGAGTGAAATTAGGAAGGGCAGAGAAGCAGGGGCAGGGGTGGGGTGGGGCCTAATCTGTTTTAAGACTTGGCACCAGAAGAAGAGGTCAAGTGGTTATGGGTCTGAAGCACTATTAATAACAAGTTGGGAGTGGTGGGCCCCGGGGGATCGCAGCCTCAGAGCAGGCTGGGCAGGTGGAGAATGAGGTAAAAGTAAGCTCCCTGGACTAGTTTTATGACAGGTAGGCAGGAAAATAGAAGCTAGGCCTCTTATTGTATGACCCTCCTGGAAGCCCTGCCAGGGACTATGTAATTGTTGTGCCAGAGGACCTGGGTTGAGCCATGGTAATCCCCTACAAAGGACAGGAGTTAAGCAAAGCTGGGTTGGCTAAGAGATGGAGACAGTTGCTCCATCTCTTGCCCAATCAGTTGCTTGGTTATGGCTCACTCTGATACTACTGAGGCATAGCGAAGACCTTGGAAGTACCTGAAGGTTTTCCTAAGTCGTATATGACTCCCTCTATGGACAGAAACTGGCAAGAGAAAACTGGTCATCTCCCTGCCTCAGGGTCCTTCCTAGGTTTTATTTCTGATTTGTTCTGATTAAGCATTTCTCCAGTGGGACAGTTACTGCCAAGCCAGATTCCTGAAGGCTGGGCAGCAGCCACATGGTAACGTCTGAACACTGCCCTCCTCTAGACCTATTTCTTTTTCCCAATTTCTAACCCTATTGCACTCCTCTTTGCCTTGTCTGGGTCTTCCAGTCCTGGGAATTGGTAGTTGTTTTCAAGTGGTGGTGGTGGTGGTGGTGGGAAGGAATTTTTCATGAAGGCATGGTTGCATTTACCCAGTTCCTTTAAAAAAAATTTAAAAAATGCTTTATTGTGAATTATGTTACCCAGTTCCTTTGCTTAGAAGATTCTTTGCTCAAAGATAGAACAAAAGTGAATTTGAACCCAACATATGTGGTTAGGCCATACAAGGGGACTTCAAGAATTCCTGGACAAATTCTATTGTCTCTCAACTCTGTTTTCCACAAGCTTTTTGAAGCCCCCTGGTATGTTCTGATCTTATGTTTTTCATACTAATTTCTCTAACACATTTTCTCCTGGGACTTCAAGCTCTGTGGAGCATGACAAGCTGCACTTTTTCCTCGGAGAAGTCATATAACACATTCTTTACCTCTCCTATGGATAAGAACACTGAAATAACATACAGGACCCTAAATTCAGCTGATGACTCACATTTGCTCATTTCTCTCACTTTCCTCTTCTGTATTCAACATTGGATTCTTATGCATTATGGGGTGGTGGGGGTGGTGGTGGTGATGTGCCACTGAGCCCCTTCCGACTCATAACAACTCAGTATAGAGTTTCCAAGGCTGTAAATCTTTAAAGGAGCAGAAAGCCTCATCTTTCTCCCATGGAGCGACTGGTAGATTCAAACTACTGACCATGCGGTTAGCAGCCCAGCTTGTAATTCACTACATTACCAGGGCTCCTTGGTCATTATTGGGAGAAGTCCAAAATGTATTCCTTCATTCAACAATTATTTATCTAGTGTCTACTATGTACCAGACATCAGTGTACAACAACAAAAACGCCTGCTTTTAGGGAGACAGGGCACACGTAAGCTAGAAAATAAATATGAAGCCCTGAGGGCCCATGCAAGATGGCTTGGTTGTCCCAGAATGCCTAAGAGGGACATTTGCTCAAGGAGGGGTTGGAGTAGAATGGAGGTGGGACGAGAGATGGCCTCATTAAAGGAGGTGGATTTAAAATCACCATCAAGTAGAAAAAGGGGTCCAACAGTGGAAGTGGTGGGTATACAAAGGTATAAGAAGGTCAGAGGATTGTAGAGTCGGGAGAGACTGAAGGGGTGAAAGTGAAGGTGTTTATGGTTGAATGGGATGAGGCGTTTACAGTGGGCCAGACGGAATTATAATACGGAGTCAGTGTGAGTTTTAGTGCTATCAAAGGAGAATATTGCTTTTTTCCTCTTCCCCTCTTGCTCAGAACCATCACTAGACACGTGGTATTGAGGATGCTCTGGAGGCTTTACTGATTAAGCTGTGGTCCCTTTGTTAGTAGTTTGGGTTTTATGTTTAGTTGGGAGCCTCCTACGGAGATGACCCAGTTTGTGGTGCAGTCCCAGCCCTTGCTTACCCTTGTGTTTTCCTTCCTGACAGATAGACTTCTCTGCTGACCAGATCGAAGGTGAGTCTTAAAAGCCCCGCCTCCCCTCCCCTTCCCTCTCTGTGCCACCTTGCTGGAGTAGTAGGAATGGTAATCATCATCATAGCAAACCTACATTAATCGTCTGACATGCAGTAAGCATAGTTCTAAGCCTATTATGTGGACTAAAACATCTAATTTTCAAACAACCCTGTGAGATAGGGACTAAAATCACTCCTCCCCACCCCACCCCCGTTTTACAAGCACAAAGGCTGCATGACTTGCTCAACTTCACACAAGCAAGTCCAGTCAGTGGTAGAACCAGAATTCAAACACTTATTTGCGGTGGAAAGAACATTATTTGGGAATCAGGAGACTTTGATTTTAGCCCTAATTCTGCCACCATCTGGTCTTGAGACTTCGGACAAGTCTCCTTTAAATCTTAATTTGCTTATTTGCAAGGCAAGAGTGTTTGGCTCTTTTCAATTCAGAAATTCTGTGATTCTATTCTGGACCCTCCAGCTTTCCTCTGTTGATTGGAAGAGAGTTATCAAATAGTTTCTTATCTTGATAGTCTCCAGGCAATATGGCTCCAATTTCATGCTTTCATCTCAAAGGAGCTTGCTTCCAACTTTTGGCTTCCTTCTCTAGTCCTCTATAGATTTCCATTTCTTCCTAGGACGGTGTTGACTGATTTCTCCAGTAAGCAGGTAACTACTGCAGGCTCTAGATGAAAGGCTTCTTTTGGGGCCCATGAACATCATGTTTCCTATGATATATTTCAGGAAGGATCACATTGAGCTTTTTTTTTTTTTTTTTTTATCTAGTAGTAAATCTTAAGGCTGCCTGGGTGCTGTACACAGTAAAGTGCTTGACTACTAACTGAAAGGCTGGTGGTTCGAATCCACCCAGAGGCATCTTCTTGGAAGACAGGCCTGGTGATCTGTTTCCAAAAGGTCACAGCCATGAAAACCTGATGGAATGTAGTTCCATTCTGTAACACAGGGGTCACCACGAGCTGGAATGAACTTGACAGCTACTGTTTTGGTTTTTAAAAAAATTATTTAATAATCTTAAACTTCAGTGTTTGCTTTATGCACATACCCAGGCTTCCCAGCAGGCTAATAGGTTAGCACATTAGGAGGTACAGCTGGTTACTTCCTCCACTTCCTTCCTCCCATGCCCTTTGGGAAGACATAGATGGTTTCTTTTAGGCAAGACTCATATTTGCATTGACTATAAATGAGGAGACTAGTATCTGTAGCATGAAGCTTCATGAGATAATTCATACAAAGTTATCAGCTTAGAGCCTGGTCCACTATAAGTGCTCATATCACAGCTCAGTGTTGTTAGGACTACCCCCCCCCCCCCATGTACCACCCTCCTGTTTGTGCCATTGAGTTCATTCCGACTCATAACGACTCTGTATAGGGGTTTCTGAGGAGCAGCTGGTGGGTTTGAACTGCCAACTGTGTGGTTTAAAGTCCAGTACTAATCCCATAGCACCACAATAGGAGTCTCACCACAACAAAAGTGTGGCTCCTAGTAAGCATTATTTTATTTACTTTTACAAGGAAACTTCCTTCTTTTGTGAAATCTGACCTTACTCTTTTGAATGAACTAGAAAATCAGAAAATCTGAGTTCATATTCCACTAAGAGATCTATTTATGGGACATTGAACTTGTGACAGATACGGTGCTAACTGCTTTAAACATTAAAAGAAATGAAATCTTTAGAGCAAGAACTGGCAAGTAGGCACTATTTTCTTTTTTTTTTTTTTTGTTATTGAAGTTTTTATTGTGAATTGAGTGATAGTTTACATGGGAGAACTTCTGTTTTACATTCATTGTTTCATTGCAATGATTACAATCTCCTCCGTGTATTATCACTCAACAGTATTTGCTTCTATTCTGTTTGTTTTTGTTTTGGGGGGATGTACACAAAAACAATCAGGAATCTATAATCATTTAAACAACCAAAGGGCACATTCTGTAAGGTGCTATTTCCTCTTATTAGAGCACAAAACAAAGGATCCATGAACCGTGATTTAGCCCAGATTCAACAGTCAAGTGGTAGGATTGGAATTAAACTCACTAAAACAATAACAACAGACAGGTGTTGCAATTTTACACACATTATTGGACTTAATTCTTGTAAGGACCTGATGAGATAGGGCCATTTCTAGGGGGAATGAGGCTTAGAGAAGTTAAATATTTACTTCCCCAAGGCCACACAACTGGTAAACAATGGAAATGGAATTTGAACTCAATTATTCAGTAATGTGAAAGACACACAGCTTTATGTCTTTTAAATACATACAAACCTTAATAAAGAGTAGAAGTTTTGGGGGAAACTGCTTTGGTATGTGGAATGATTTGCAAAGAATTCACATAACAGCTGCAAAGCAAATAAGAGTTTCTAAAGTACTTGTATTGTTGTTAAGTGCTATATTTGTTGTTGTTGTTAAGTGCCATTGAGTCGGTTCCGACCCATAGCAACCCTGTACAGGGTTTCCGAGGGTGTAAATCTTTACGGGAGTAGAAGGCCTCATCTTTCTCCTGTGGAGCGGCTGGTAGTTTCGAACCGCTGACCTTAAGGTTCGCAGCCTGATTCGTAACCATTACGCTACCAGAGCTCCTTTATATAGTTGGTTCCAACTCTTAGCAACCCTGTATAGCATTTCCAAGGAGCGGATGGTACGTTTGAAACACCGACTTGCAGTTAGTAGATGAGTGCTTATCCTACAGCACCACAACAGGACTCCAAAGTCCTTGTTTTTGTTGTTGTTAGGAGCCGTTGAGTCGCTACTGACTCATAGAGAACCTATGCATAGCAGAACAAACCGCTGCCCTGTTCTGCACCAACCTCACAATCATTGCTACATTTGAACCCATTGCTGCTGCCACTGTGCCAATCCATTTCATTGGGGGTCTTCCTCTTTTTCTCTGACTCTCCACTTTACCAAGCATGATGTCCTTCTCCAGGGACTGGTCCCTCCTGATTACATGTAGAAAGTATGAGAGATGAAGTCTGGCCATTTTGGCTTCTAAGGAGCATTCTGACTGTTTCTTCTTCCAACACATATTTGTTGGTTCTTTTGATGGTCCATGGTACTTGTAGAGACTTAAAAACAGTCTTTCTCTTAAGTAGTTCAGACATTCTTCTTTGATTTATACTGTTAATCTGTTTAGTAAACCACTTCTAGATTGTGAATAGCATAAAGTAACTTCAATATCATTCTGGTCCAAATTATCCCCAGTCATGAATTGGTTGCACCCAGTATAATAAGGAATCAAGGTTCTTTGCAAAGGCCCAGCACTGTATTAATTTAGCCTTGTGCCTTGGTACCTCCAGGGAGGTATATAGAAATGGAAGATGGCTACACCAGATCACATAGTTCTGAGCTGGCTCCAGAGCTAGTAAATATAATAACCAGTTGACTCATTGTTAGATCGTGCTTGGTTCACTGTATAATCTGCCCAACAACCCACTCAGGTGGACATTGTCTCCCCACTCATAGCTAATGAAGAAAGGTCCAGTGAGCTTAGTAGTGTCCTCAAGGTCACGTGTGGGTCATTGGCAGAGCTGAGTGGTCTGGCTCCAAGGCCCCAGCATCATTTTGCCTGGAACAGGCAGCACTGATATCAGGTCTTATCACTTTGCAAAGTGCTCCCAACTACTGCCACCTCCTGTGACACTGAGAGTAACTCAGAAGAGTGGGTGGGGTGGAGCTGTTACTTCCTGTGTGTGCACATGGAGTGGCGTCTCATTGTGGCAGAGCCAAGAGCTGGTCCAGAGCTTTTTTCATATCCTGTTGTCTCTAGCTATCAGGAACTTCACCCACACTAGGAAGGGCTGGGTGGATGGGGAGGGGTGGAGGAAAGGGAGACATTAAATTCTCTGACAAGCAACTGATCGGGAGAGGTTCCAGAGAGGCTCAGCTCTGTTGTCAGAAGATGGAGTGTGGGTGGGTTCCAGAGAGGGGCTAGGATATGTGGTCAGGGGAAGTATCAGCCCTCAGCCACAGCCTTCACTTGGTCCAGGGGGCTGCAGCTGGGTCTTCTCTCTGCAGAGTTCAAAGAAGCCTTCTCGTTATTTGACCGGACCCCGACTGGAGACATGAAGATAACCTACGGGCAGTGTGGGGACGTGCTGCGGGCCCTGGGCCAGAACCCCACCAACGCCGAGGTGCTGCGTGTCCTGGGCAAGCCCAAGCCCGAAGGTCAGCATGGGTCAAAGCAGGTGACCTCCTCTGGTGCCTGGCCACAGTTGCTCCCTTTTCTCTCTTTAGCCCTTCAGGATCAGCCATACTTCCCAAGTTCACCGCATCCCACTGACACAATGGCTCTAGAAGACTTTGGCACTTATTTGACCCTTGAAGAATGTAGTCATGGCTTGTTCTTGGTTCCTCCCTGAAGTTGGGAGCTTCTGGAGGGCAGGAACAACTCTTGATTGCCTCTGTGTCTTCTGCCGACTCCTCGGGTACCAGGGTACCAGCAGGCAGGAAGGGTGGGCGGGAATTGGACAGCTAACCACCCCCTCACTCTCTATTGGAGGTGTTGCAGCACTGAGGTGTTGTGTGACTTTTTTGAGTCATGCCAATGATGGTTACAGCTTCAGCATTATGTGAAAATTGGTGTTATATAGAAATGGAAGATGCCTACATCAGATCACAAAATGGAGAATGACTACATCTTGAAGTAAATGCCAAGTTACATGTAAATTAGAGCAGATTCAAGATTTGCTCTCTAACGATGCCCCTTTCATGCATTCGTATTCCAGCAGGTTTTGGTGGGTAAGAGTTCAGAATGAGGCACCCTGACTACTGGCTTCCTAGGAATTGTGTGGGGAGAGGGTTCCGTTTGTGAATGCCACCTGTTCTGTGTGACAAAACTCAACCCACTCCTAACCCAACTCTCATTCATAGTGACTCTTTAGGGTTTCTGAGGTTGTCAACTTTATGGGAGCAGAAAGCCTCACCTGTGTCCCTCAGAGAGGCTGGTGGATTTGAACCATGGACCTTGAGGTTAGCAGTTCAATGCTGATCCTACACCAGAGCTGGAGGGTGTGTGGCAGTGTGGGGAAAAGCTAATGGCTGCCATAGTCACTCATGTCCTCCTCAATGTCAGAGGTGCAGGCACTAGGCGGGCCCAAGTAGCTTTGGGCAATGGTGGTCGGTGGTCCCAGCAAGGGTGATCTCTCCAGAGGGTCCCTGGGCTGCTTCTTTGTTCTTTCTCCTATTTCCTTGTTTCTGGCTCTTTCCTCTCCTCTCCTAAGAGGTAGCAGTGTGGATGGGAGCTGGCAAGGACCAGAGGGCTAGGAGTTTACCCAAGGCAGCAGGGCTTTTGAGCTAGCTAGGCCACTTCTCTTTTGGGGGATTTCTGGGTTGTTTGGTTTCCTGGGTGGCACAAATGATTGACTTCTTACTGGAAGGTTGGTGGTTCAAGCCCAACAGGAGGCACCTCAGACGACAGGTCTTGATGATCTGCTGCCAAATGGTCACAACCTTGAAAACCCTGTGGAGCAGTTGTACTCTGACACATGTGGGAGCTCCGTGATTTGGAACTGACTTGACGGATCAGCACCACCAACGGCAACAACCTCAGTTGTTGAAAGAGAAAGAAATGCCCAAGTCTGTGAGATCGAAAAAGGATTCGTTGTTGTTAAGTGCTGTCAAGTCAGGGCCTTCAAGTCGGTTCTGACTTAGAGCAACCCTGTGTATAGGGTTTCTGTGGAGCAGCTGATGGCTTTGAACTGTTGACCTTGTGGTTCGCAGTCCAGTGCTGATCCTACAGCATCACATCAGGAGGTTTTTAACACACTACCATGTGGAAGAAATGTGCTGTTCACAAAAGAATTGCAAATTTGTAAGAAGGATGGATTTAGAGTAACTCCAGGCCGTATGGTCTAGTGCTGGGGCCCAGAGGCCGTTATGCAAGAATTTATTTGTTGATGCCGTCAGTTTACATATGGTCAGTGATCACATGCCCAACACATATTGGAAGTCTCAGCAGTGACTGTGAGGCTGGGCCATGAGGCCTTTTGTAGCGGTGTGCCTGGAGTTGGTTCCAACTCATAGGGACCCTGTAACACTGTTTCCGAGGCTGTACATCTTTACGGGAGCAGAAAGCCTCATCTTTCTCCTGCAGAACAGCTGGTATTTCAAACTGCTGACCCTGAGGTTTGCAGCCTAATTCGTAACCACTATGCTACCAGAGCTCCTTGGCATCCCTCAAAATGCCCCTGTTACCACCCTTAGCTCATTGGCCTAATTGGCTGCCCAGGCTCAGTGTTTCCTTTTCCCTTTTGTCTAGTCCTTTCATGGAGCAAACTGTGTCCCAGAGCCAGCTGTCTGCCCTTCCCATTTGCCCTCAGAGATCGGTGGCTCCCTCGGAAGCGGCTGCAGTGAAAGGATTGGGTGTTGCCAGCTTGCAGGGTCAGGTCTGACCTGGCAGAACTGGATGAGGCCTCCCTGAGCTTTTGCTCATGTTGCTTCCTTTCTCTTTGTCCATGTCTGTGTGGCTGAAGAAATGAATGCCAAGATGCTGGACTTTGAGACATTCCTGCCCATCCTGCAGCACATCTCCCGCAACAAGGAGCAGGGCACCTACGAGGACTTTGTGGAGGGGTTGCGCGTTTTCGACAAGGAGAGCAATGGCACAGTTATGGGTGCTGAGCTTCGGCATGTTCTGGCCACTCTGGGTATGGTAGCCAAGCAGGGCTAAAGCCCAGGGGCGAGAGTTGGGGAGAGGGGACCATTGAGGTGGCCTGTGTTGGGAGCTATGGGGGGACTCTGCATCCTGAGGGTCACTCACATCCTGATATTGTCTCCTTGAAAGGACTAAAAGAACAACCTACCCCCATGGGGTTTGCTCAGTAGTACCAGGGCTGGGAGAGGAGAAGAAGGCAGGCATAGGGTGGCAGGGAGAGGCAGTTACTGCTGAGGCCTGGGAGGTGGGACACAAGGGTTCTGTCCTTGCCTTTGTCTCAGGCTCTGGGACCCTGGTCTGTTCACCCTGTGATGGTTGTAAGGGATTGGCCTCAGGGACTAGGTAGGGCCTCTAAGACCCTTGGCCTCACCCTCCAAAGCCTTTGGGAGAGGCTTGGTATTATGACAACTTTCCAGCCCCCAGGGGTTCTTAGGTTTTTCCTGCTTTTCCTTTGCCATCTGTAATAAAACATTCACTGCCCCCAACCTAGGGGAGAAGATGACTGAAGCTGAAGTGGAACAGCTGTTAGCTGGCCAAGAGGATGCCAATGGCTGCATCAATTATGAAGGTATATAGTCACAGTCTTGCTTCCTGGGCACTTGAGGGATGAGGCGCGGACCCAGTTTGGGCTAGGTGGGTCTGTAGAAGAATATCAGCACAGGTGGGCGTGGTGGAATGATGGCTGTTGTCCTTCTGCACAAGGATTTAGAGGCAGCTTTGTGAGCTACAAGCGATAAGACCTTGAACCAAGTCACTTACTTTTTCATAGCCTCAATTTTCTCATTTACGAGATGGGGGTCATGCTAGTACCTGTCTCTAGGCTGCAAGGACTAAGTGGGTTAATGTAGCTCATTTCATGCACATCGAGCATTGACACACAGAGCATGTTTCAGTCTCTTCTCTTCCTCCACCTTCTCCCAAACAGAAGAATTACGATCTGGAGAAATGGTGGCTGGAAGGGTTAAAGTCAGGCAGTAAAGGGGATAGAAAAGTGGCAGGGAAGGGTGAAGGGCCAAGTGCAGATCAGGCAGCTTCCAGTAGCTGGTTTTCATCTTTTTTCCTAGCCTTTGTCAAGCACATCATGTCTGGGTGAATCAGATTCCTCCAGGTGAGTATAGTCTTCCCCTTCTGGTCCTTTCTGAGGCTTAGGAATAGTACGACATGTTCAAGAAGCCTTGTGTTCTAGTCCTGACCCCATAAGAGGAGACTGCATGAGCACATCCTAGCCCCTCATTGTCCCCCCTACCCTTAGGCGCCTGTCGCCTCCTGTTCCATCCTGCCTCTTGCCATCTCTGTCTTCTCACCCAGTTTTCCTCCTCATTAGTCCTGCCACTCACAGATTATTTTAAGGCAAGATATTCCCTCAGGCCTGGAGTCTCCTGTACAGGCAGGTGCCTGGGGGTGAGAATGCGAGATCCCCAATGCAAGAGTGTCTCCAACTTGTGCTCTCCACCCTGGGCCTGGTGCGGTTCTACTAGGGAGATGGAATTTATGGTGAGTGGCCGGAAAAGGGGAAGGTGAAATGCTCTTTCCATCTTGTGCTTTCTTTCAGGTGACTGGACCTTGGCATTAGCCATCCTAGGGTGAGTTAACAAGAGACCCAGAGTCACTGAGCTGGATAGAACCAGAGTCCTGGACCTGTCTGCACCACAACCCTAAGGACCTCATAGTCCCACAGCCCTCACTGTAAATAAACAGCCTAGGCAAAGCTGGGTCAGCTTCCCTGCTTCCAACTGGTCTCTGAATTCTGTATTTTTGATAACCTCACCTGAGGCCTCACATATGTTCCTCAGAGAAATGAGGGTCACCTCTCATTTATTTAATTATTTTTTTGGAATGTTTTACTGTGAATTATATGATAGTTTACATGGGAGAACGTTAGTTTTACATTCATCCTATTGTATATCATTTCATTGCCATGGTTACACTCCTGTCCATGCATCATCAACCACCAAAGAGTATACACTACAAGCCTGCCCCCAGTCGTCAGCACACAGCCCCTCTCCCTCTCTGGGTCTAAAGTCCCCAACTGCTCCATATCTCCACGTTATTGTCTCTGCCTCCATCTCTTTCCGCTCTTCTCCCTTGATGGTCCCAGGGACCTCCGCTCCTAGGCTGAACAGTTAATCACTCCCCTCCTTGCTACAAAACATCTACCTTTACATTTCTACCCCTTACAAGCAGTCCTGATAACAATATTAACTATTGTATCACAAGAGACCTATCCGCATTTCCTTTCATCAGCCCCACCTAGACAGATTGTATACTACTCAGTGGAGATTCCACCTTCCTTCACACCCTCTGAATCTAGGTTCCCTCTTGAAAGCTTGTAAGGCAGTCACTTCTTGCCTTTGTAGTGCGCCCCCCCCAACCCCCGGTTTTGGGTAGCCAATGTCTAAGTTGCCCATCCTTGTCTACTCTGTGTATGGAGGGGGTGGGAATGATCCTTGCTGTAAGGATTTGTTCCCTCTTTTGAGCTACTGCATCCATGCCCCTCACTTATTGACATGGTCAGTTCTTAAAGACCAGGTCATGATGTGAACCTCAGCATTAGTCAGAAATGTAGGATGAGCACATCAGAATGCAAAACGGAGAATGGTTACATCGTTCTAAAACTGCCAAATTTCATCAGTACGTAACTGACAAACCACTGAGACTCATGGTCCAGCTAACCTGCCACAGAACCTTCACCATCCAGGCAGCTCTACACTTCCCTCATACCTTGGTGTTCAGTACTGCCAGACCTAGGTCATTAATATGCCAAATAGTAGGTTTTCACTATTGTTATAAGTGGAAAATGCTAGATAATGAGATAGTCACTAAGTGAGGAACAGGTACAGTACCTGGAAGATGGAGAGGTGTGGTTAAAAGCCCGTGAATCTAGAAAAAAGTAGTATCAGACACAGTTTGAGGAGTTGTAACCAAGAGAACTTTTTAGGCTAACTGTTTACCTTGTTTTCTTCCAGGTGACAGGCAGAAAGAGGAAAACCAGGAGCCAAGTTAGGGAATTTGCAAATGGTCCTTGCTTCTTGATGTGGGTCTTTTCCACTGAGTCAAAAGTCTCTGGCTCCTGATGTATCCCTGCTTGTTCTAGACATCCCACTGACTCTGTACTGCAAATCCTGGGCTATGGATCTGGAGACCAGCTGAGGGCTCTAGGGAGTCAAGGCCACAGACTTCAGGCTGGGAGGACAGGAGAGTAGGAAGAGGCAAGTGGGACAAGGAAAGGAACAAGAAAAAGCTACAATTGGAGAGAAGGATAAAGATGATGTGATGAAGTTAAACACACACACTCATGAGCAGAAAAACTTGCATTGGAGGTCATGGTGGACCCAATCTTCCCATTCTGGGGCTCCCTAACACTTGAGAATGGCTGCAAGGTGAAGTAGACACTCTTCTTCATGGCCATTCTGCTGTCCTGTCAGGCTATCCAGCCACAGGAACTTGGTGAAACACCTCCTAGGAATCCAACCATGGCTGCTTGCCCTGAGAAGCTGAAATCCAGTCTTCTCAGAATTGCCTGTCTGGTTGGAGTAAAGACTGAGGCTTATGCATATTCTGTCTTTTTTGAGGCAAGGCTCAAGCAGTGGGAGTGAACTGTCTGAATGAGAAAACCAGAGATCTTAATATTGTTGGAGGGAGCCCTTGAATCTAGTGGTTTTCAAATGATCTTAG